AGTTGATCCAAGAAGAATAAACCCACATAATTCTCAATAAAAACTTTAAAAAAAGAAAAGAAATCCACAACATATCACACTGTGCCAATCTGCTACAAAAGCTCTCTTTTAAAGTGTTAAAGAGCAAAGATGTCACTTTGAGGACTAAGATGTGGCTAACTCAGGCCATGGTATTTTCAATCACCTCATGTATACATGCAACAGCTAGACAGTGAATAAGGGAGACAGGTGAAGAATTGAGGCACTTGAATTATGGAGTAAGCAAAGAATATTGACTTACCCTGGACTGTTAGAAGGAAGAACAAATCTGTCTTGGAACAAGTACAGTCAGAATGTTCTTCAGAAAACAGAATGATGAGACTTGGACATGTCATCAGGAGGGATCACCATGCTAAGTAAAGTGGAGAGGGGTTTCATGCTAAGTAAAGTGGAGGGTCAGCCGAACAAAGAGGACCTTCATCGAGATGGGTTGACTCAGTAGCTACAACAATAAGCTCAAATACAGCAATGACAGCGGGGTGACACAGGACTGGACGGTGTGTCATTCTGCTGTACGTAGGGTCACTATGAGGCAGAACCAACTCGACTGCACCTAACTTGACAGCAACAGTCTTTACAGAACATCTCCAGGCCTTTCCTTTGCAGTGCTTCTGGGTGCATTTGATTTGCCAACTTTTGGGTTAACAGCTGATTGCAAACTGCTTGCATCATCCAGGCTCCCGGTTAAAGGAAAGAAAGCTGCTCTTGTAAACTCCCAGGGAAATAAACACTCACAATACGAACAATGAATGCACGCTTGCAAGTTGTGACCATAGGACTGTAGAGCGCTGTCTTGGGTTGGGTTGTACATCTGACTGGCACTGAAGCCCAGATAGTGACACTGTGTGTAACTGTTGAAGTTGGAACTGGAACCCTGGATTTTGGACTCCCAGAGCTGCCGTTTCCAGCATGTGGGGCTTCTCTAGCCAAGCTTGCTCCTCGGTTCCTGGCTTGGGGACCAAGGTGTGTGTCACAGCTTCCCCTGAGCTGGAGACACCCCTGAGTGTAGCCCGGGAAGCCGGCCCTCTCTGGCTCCTGTTGACCCCTCTGCAGCTTCTTGCTCCTAGTTTTCACTGTCTGCTCCAGCCACAGCGGCAGCCTCCTTTAAGCCTTCTGTTCACGCCGCCTCTAATCAGAACTTTTCACGTGCTGTTCCTCCTCTTAGAAGGCACTTCCCTTCACTGTAATGAACTTCTTAGTTCACAAATCTCAGCTCAAGCTTTGCTTCTTTGGAGCCAGCTTTCTTAGCCTCCCTACCTGAATCAAATTCATCTAAATGGGCTTTGAGAGCACCTGTCTTTGGTTGAGCTGTCTCTAAGCAAAGCCGGATGCAGGGGTTTGGATAAGCATGATATATTGAGGGAGTATTCTGGGGAGACAGAGAGGCAGGAGGGGGTGGGAAAGGAGCAAAGCCAGAATTACACAGGAGTTTAGGAGCAAGAACAGCACCAGAGTCAGGCCACCTTGAAGCCGGGGACCCACCTCCTTCACTGCTGGGTAATCACTGGTTGCAGCTTGGCCCGTTGTGGAGTAGGAGATGTAAACCTCCAAGGACAATTCTCCAGAGACTAAACTGGAGGAGTTGTGAGCTGTTGGCAGCCAAGACTCACAGCCACTGGGGAGGAGCTGGTAGTGTGCCCATCATCAGCTCCATGCGTGTCCCTAGAAAGACATCTCATCTGGGCTGCAGTTACCAACTGCTGGTCTTACTCCAGCAGGGCAGGGCCTGGGTCTGCATTTGCTCACTCTATACCTCCATGGCCTGGTACATGACAGGCTTCGATGAAGGAAGGACGGAAGGAAGGAACCAGTGGGTCCCTGAATGACCAAACAGACAAAAACGAGAGGAGAGGCTGGACTGTAGAGGAAGGTAGTCAGTATGGACTTCAAAGTCCAAGTTAAGATACGAAAATGTTTAGCAGATTGTGTGTCCATTAATGAAATCATTTTTTTGTTCTTCTATGGTCACAGAGAGAGAGAGAGAGATGAAGATACTAAACCAATCCTAGATACTCAGGAATCACCTTTCAGTCAAACAACAGAACAATCAACCATGACAACAAAAGGGCAGCTCTGGCCCCAAAACAAAACTCAGAAGGCAGGAAGGCACAGGAAAAAGGGGCGAATAGGAATGGGGAACCCAGGGAGGAAGCAGGAAGAGTGATGTTTGATTAAGGGGATTACAACTAATGTCGTGAGATAAAACATGTATAGTTTGTTGTTGAAGGAAAACGAATTTGGTCTGTAAATTTTTGCCCAAACCATAATAAGAGTAAAAGGAAGAAAACCCTGGATCTATAGTCCCAGTGTGGCACAGTAGGATAAGCACTAGACTGCTAACCACAAGATCAGTGGTTCAAACCCGCCAGTCCCTCCTTGGAAACCCTATACAGGGTCTCTGTAATTCAAAATGCATCAAATCTGTTCTTCAGATGATCTCCAAATTCAGGAGGGATAAATTCAAGGTCATATTTTGGTTCTCGTAGACTTGTTTTCATTTTCTTCAGTTTCAGTTTGAATTTGCATATCAGTAATTGATGGTCTGTTCC